GTTTAATAGTTTTTGAGCTAAAACCATTTTTGTATGTCCAGATACCCCTTTTTCAGATAAATTGGGGGTCCATGGGGGATGGGGCCACTGATTGGTGGGCCTGATGGATAGCCCCTCATCAGAGCTAAACAACAAAAGAAATCTGAAGCTTTTATGTTGAACAGTTTCTGAGTTATAAGCATTTTCGCATGTCCAGACACCCCTTCTTTGAAAGGAGCCCCCTCCTCAAATATGGGGTCTATCATAAAACCGTTGGCTGGCTCAGTGTAGGTCAGACTCATCTACAGCCTTGCCAAATTTCATGTTGACCGGTGCAGCTGTTTTTGTGCTACGGTTGACCAAAAATCTCCAGAGAAAAATAAATAAATAGAGTACGAAAACAATATGACTCCCTCTTATGCTTCGCATGCGGAGGTCATAATAATTATCTAACTCAATTTGAAGGTACAAATACACACAAAAACAGAAACAGAGTTTTATTTACTGATTCTTGGTTCTCTTGAGTTTATAAACACTAAACACCCGAAAACCAGACGACAGGTCCAAGAGATCCAGATCTTCATTTAGAGTATTCCTGCAAATAGGAAGGGTTCAATGAACCTTACACTTTAGTGTGTACCGGTATTAGTTTTGATGAAATATCAGTAAATCTGTAAACTTAACCCTAACACCCTACTTGACCTAACCCTACCCTACCTAACATTAACTTACCTCTATGCTAACCTAACTTTAACCCTACAATACCATACTTAACCCTACTTTACCTTGACCCAAACCCCACCTTACATAACCCTACTCTACTTTAACCCAACCCTAACCCTAGCCAACCCCTAGATTAACCTAAACTTAACCCTACTCTCCCCTAACCCTACTCCTACCCTACCTTAACCCTACCCTACTCTGACAGAAATTCTTTCAAGTGGCAGAAAACAGACTACTCATAACAGTGGCACAACCACATCATTTTTTTTGTTCATTTCTCATACAATTCAACAATAAATAATTGTCTAACTCAATTTGGTGCCACTAAACATCCAGAACCAGAGGACAGGTCCAAGAGATCCAGTCATGTTTCCTCACACTGCCAGCAAAAACAATTAAATCCAGCAGATATTGAATATTTCCTGCCCAACACTAAGCTTCATATAAAACAGCACAGGGATTGTTTCTCTATACTTACAACATAATTTAATAATCTCTCCAAACACTTTTATTTTATTTAAATAATTAAAAAAAAGGAAAATGCTTGTGTTCTGTCAATGCTATTAAACCATCCTGTTAAAACTGAAACTCATTTTCCAATTTAAGTTTTAGGCAAAACTTCTTCAGCTCAAGCATACCATAACAGGTGTGGGAGAAAAAAAAATGTAAAAGTATTTCTATGTGGAAGCGGAGGAAGGAGGTTGTACAAGCAGAGAGACTTCCTTGCTAGCAGAGCAGGAAAGAGAAGGGGAGCAGAAACAAAACTGTCACACCAGAGTTTCCTCGCTGATAATTCGACAGGGAGTCCGATTTCTGAGCCGCGTACAATAAAAACACTAAAGATTGTTTTTAGTTCCATGTTTCTACCAGGGTTCAACAAGTGAGCTGTACAAACATGTTCCCAAGTTGTTTTTACTGCATTTCATGATTAATTATAAAGATGTCAAAGAAACTCGAACATGGACCCAGTACAAAACTCAACAAAATCACAAAATTAAAGGACTGCAAATAAAATTTTACTACAGCTACTGCTAAAGTCGAAGCAGAAAACATTCAAAATATCCAATCAAGTGACGTATTATTAAAAATACATGACAAAGTAACTTAAAAAATCCAATACAAAGCTAAGAGAAACCTCTTTCTAAGAATTAATGCATGAGCAAGAATAACTTTCACAGAATATTAAAGTGTTGAAAGAATAAACCTGTAAAAGACAGAGGAAGGTTGCTGCATTTGAGATTTTTAGACCAAAGGTTTAATCTTCCTAAACTAATCTAAAGAGTAACTTACCCCCAAATTAACTTTTTTAGCTGACAAACTGTGTCTAAAATGTTATATAGTACTGTTTCTGTGCTAATTTTGATGTTTTTGTGCGTATTTGTTCAAATCTGTAATATCTGGTCTAAAAATGTGTTTTTGCTGCTCATATGGGTAGAGCAGTGGTACTGCAGGCTAATTTGCATATTGGTTAACGGCTCTCCACGGTGACGTGTCTTCTCCACGGTTTCGTCACAGCGGCTGTGTTCTGGTATAAAAGCCTCTCTCTAAGACACGCCCCTGCAGCAGTCAGAGGGTGGAACAGTTAGCAAGCTTAGCATGATCGTCTGTTGACCTTCAGCCTCAGGTGGGGAGAGCTGACTGCTGCGCTGCTCTCTCTCTCTCCACACACACACACACACACACACACAAACACAAGCAGTAGTCCTGCACAGCGGGAGGGGAGGGGGGAAAGAAAGGCAGCGGGGCAGCTTCAGCCTGAACCCACACATGTTAATTTGTACAGATTGTCTGTACGTTATAAGGATTTTACGTCATTTTGCAGGTATACGGACGTATAGAGCAATCTCACGGTTTTTTTTCAAGTCTTATGGATATTTTAAAAACCTCATTTTCAAATTTATCTAACATGTCAGAGCCTATAGGATGATTTAAAAAACAATAAATAACATCAAACAGCCATCTTCCAACCTGTTCTGCTGCTAGAAATAAGTCCCCACCCCCGGGGCGGGTGCGAGTTGTATGGACTTTTTGCAAAATTTATGGATTTTTAGGGCTCTTTATACAGGTAAAAGTCCAAAGAGGTTGAAATGTATGCGAACCGGACCGAACTTCAGTCAAACAAGACCCAACACTTTTATTCCTGATTTAAACTAGCGATCTTGTGAGCAGCTGCAGATGTGTGCTTTTATTTTTTTTCTGTCAGGCTGTCGGAGCGCTCCTCCTCCTCTGTCCGTGATGGTGTGGGGTGAAAATCCTCCACCTCAGACGTTCAGAGATGTAACTATCTGCGATACTGTGGTCACTCTCCATGTAGCATCAATTATGCTAATGCTAGCTGCCTGTCACGTTCTCTTTTTTCCTCTGGGATCAATCAAGTATTTTTGAATTTAAATTTTTAATTTGAACCAATCTGTAGCTGTTTGGAGGACAGCTACTGTACAGAACAGGTAGGTTCAGATCTGTTAGAGTGCAAATGTTTAAACTAGTCACATTTTGTTTCCAACACTTCAAACCTAAAATGAACAGACTTTCTAAAAATCTTTCAATGTTGGTTTCTTTTCCACTTATTTTATGTCCAGTTATGGAGCTTTGTTTAAAAATAATAATAAAAATAGGAAACTGGACAGTTTTTAGATCTAAAAACTGTAGCAGAAGAACGGTATCTGCAAGTCGTGTTTTTCAGAAACAGAAAAGACCTGAGAAAAACATCATCCTTCAGTTCATCACTTTTTAATTTATCCATGCTTTGTCTGATTCCAGTTTGGATATTTATTATTTCATCTCACATGAGCTGATCTGAATCTCTCCAAAGGACAGTGTTGTATAAAGTACCACAAAGTGAAACTTGAGCTAAAGTACAAGTATCTTATCAAAAAATTACTTTGGTAAAAGTTAAAGTCTCCTTTAGGAATATTTCTTGAGTAAAAGTCTTAAAGTATCTGATATTTTTTGTACTTAAGTATTAATAGTAAAAGTATTGATTTAAAATGAGCAGTTAGATTTTCTGTAAGGACATTTATTAGGAGGTGACCTCCCAAAAAATACAGAAATTACTATACTGTAATAAAATAAGTAATATGTGTTAAATTTAGGATGAACTAGTCTAACTCTTTCAGTTTATACACATTTATCAAGGCTGCCAAGTATAGAGCTAAATTGGGGTCATGTGTTTTGTTCAAGATAAAAAAAATCTGAAACTGAAAAACAATTTTGAAACTGGAAACTTTTCCAGATTGTAATGCATTGTTTTTCAGTTTCACTTTTTTTTCCAGTTTCAAAAATATTTTTCAGTTTCAATTTTTTTTATTTTGAACAAAACATATGACCCCAGTTTAGCACCATAGCCAAGACCTTTTCGCTAAAATGAAAATATATCCAAAGGCTGCGGCCAAATCCAATAATAGAATTCATGAAATACAAATACTTCTTAAGTACAGTCTTTTTTTTTTTTTTTGAATGATTAAGCGAGCAGCCTGTGCGGTGGCCCACGTTTTTGACTAACTGCAGTACAGCCCTTTATATAGTCATTGTGCCAATGAATGGCCCACAGGCCCCTCTTTGGGCACCTCTCAATCAATCAATCAATCAATCAATCATCTATCTATCTATCTATCTATCTATCTATCTATCTATCTATCTATCTAT